CATCATCTACTAGAAAACGTCAATTGAGCAGTAATTTTAATCAACTCAAACAAATGATAATGACTGATGATAATATGAACTCAACGGAAATTTCTTCAGTTTATTGTTGGTTAGAAAATTTAATATCTGTGAATGTATGTGATTTGATTGTAAATGCAATCTTACAAATTGGATTGAATAAATCTGTAGTTAACTCGTCAGCGACAGCGTCAATGCCCAAAACATCCAAAGCATTCAAATCTAAAAGTGATTCTTTGAAAGAAAACACCTTTGCTCGTGACGCCAATAAAATTGATGATGATGACGATGATAGTAATGATGACGATAGTGTTGAAGATCAGCTATTACTTACTAAACATGGTTTAAAACAACTGGACGTTGATCTTGGTAAGCTTAAACTTCTTGTAGTTTTTATTAGTCGAGCGATCAGATTCAGACGTAGAGTACTAGCTGGAAATGGCAAATCAGTCGACGAGGTCTCTAATCTTCATCGTTCGAGGTGTCTGAGTTGTGTATTACATATAGCTAACCACCTGTTACGTCGATTGACTATGTTAACTAATGTAAGATTAAGTTGAAAGGAAGCTAAGGGTGATCAAACCAAGACATGACATCAGTTCATCAAGCCAATGATTGTTGATCTGAGCTATGATAGTAGATTCAGAAAACCTAGTTAGAGTCCGCACAATAACTGGTATTAGTGGCTGGAGACGTTGGATGATATAGCTCTGAATCAACCACAATGGTTTATTTACATTCATGCTGTGCGACGGGATGAATAAGTAGGTTGTTGAGTAGCATACACAAAGATTAAAATTTTGTCATTCGACCGAATTGGTCTGCAAATTCACTGAAATCAAATAATATATACATCAGAGATTTTTAACTTAGAGGATTCCTCCACGCGATTTATAAATAAATCGATAGATATCTTATGGGTACGTATTGCTGTGTGGATTCAGAAGTTAGGACAGCATTAACAACTGATTTCAGTCATTTTCCAAATAAAATCAGTCCACAATGTAAACTGTTTTACAGATTCCCAGTCGAAACTATTCGTTTTCTACTTGAAAACTTAGTTATACAGCTTCAGTTGGTAATCATTAATATACTGTCTATCTCGTTTTTATGGTTTATACTTGTTTCAGGTTATCTGTTTAGTATGCTGCATGATTTAGGTGTCAATGTTCCAAGTAATCTGCAGATATTACGTGATTTAATCAATTGTGATGCAGATCAGTTCCCTAAATTATGCGCCGATCATCCACCGAAAATTGTAAATGCTGTAGCTAACTTTCGTGGTTTTTAAATATTACTTTGTTCTAATAAACGTAGTTTTTTACTTACAGAAAACATATCATTTTTGTTCTTTTTTCAATTCGGTAAACTTTCTATGTTGAATTTACTTGTATTCTCTATTTATCTTTGTACTACCAGTTTCTTTTAATAAATAATTCTTCCTTAACAGTGGACATTGATTTCTCCATTTCTTACTGAAATACTCAGCAAAGTCCAAACTGTCCTTGAATTTCTATGTACCGCTGGTTCTTTCTGTTTAGTCTCAATCAAAAAGGATACTAGCATGCTTAAGATGTGCCTGGTAGTTTCTTGTTAAGACAGACTGGAAATTTTTCCCTTCTTATGAATTAAAAGGGATGCCACGGTTCACTTTTCCCCGACCCTCGTCATGGTACGTTCTGAAATATCCCTTTGAAGATGCAAAGCTTTGGAAAAAAGGTCGGCAATCGGTTAGCGCCTAAGTGAGATCTGATTCCAATTTAAAGTTAGACAAACAGATGGATTATATAGCATTTCTTAAAAGTGTAATTAGTTCATCCGAAGTATTACAAATACAAGCTTGGAAACTGCCTATTGTGATTATTGCAATTTGAAGAAGATATAGATACATTCGCTCCTTATGATTTGATACATATGCTACTGGTTATAGGGACGACTTTTGAGCCAACCTTCGACTAGTACCCCGGTTTTTCGTGGTGGTCTAGCTTCAATTGACTCATGAATTCAACTATTAATATCTTTGAGTTGTGTTTTTGACCAGTTTGATGATAGGAAATCATAGATAATTTTTTTAGTTTTGTTGGGCCTCAGTGTGAAGGGAAGCGTCCCCTCTTTTAATACGAAACGAGGGGTATGTGTTCAAGCCTATTAATCAAGTGACTGGAGTTTCGGAATTTTCGGCCTCATAAATACCTTGACTAGGTAGTCAGTAGTATTCCCACAACCCATATGCTAGTCGACATGCAGAATGATTAATCTACCGTAGCACCGACCACGAGGTTGGTAATGCAGACCTTGAAAAATCATCCAGGCAGTGTTGAAGTAACTTCGTTGGTGTGTGGATGGTCCGATATTTTTGGTTGTACCTGCATCAACCAAAATAATCACCAGCTTGACCCATTAGGTTCTCATTTCTGCTAAAGTCCAGTCACAGCAATGTTACAAGCTGGCGTGCAGCCTAGAACAAATGACAGTTTTCCGACAGTATAGCTAAACTAACATTTGATTAAGCTTTACGCAGAAAAGGTATGCTGAAAGTCGAATAATACTTTACAGTTTTTCAGTCCTATTCCGCAAAGTTTATAAGGGACTATTATGAAAATTTTCGGAGCCTTCTGAGGGATGAAATATTATTGTACAAAATAAACTGTATCGAAACTTCTTAGCGGTACAAATGCTCTATAATCAGGTTGTTAGGCTATCAGATACAAACATCCTATATGTATGCCCGTTTACGGTTGTTCCAACCTTCATCAGTAGCCCATAAATTGCAAAGACTTGGGCAGAATTTAGTCACAAAACCTTACACTGGTACCTTTGAGGAGCATTCTTGGTTAGTTTGACAGTGATATTTTAAACATAATCTTCAATAATTCCTTTCGACTTCACTTAGAGTAAGGAATTTTTGTGCTTCCTCTACTCCAAAAGATCAAGAATACTCCCAATTTATTCAAAAGCGAGCCACGAGGTCAAATTGAATGTTCAAATTAAAATTTTGCGATAAACACCTTCAATCTCTGGATATTTAATTATTATCGTCTAGACAACTCATAGGCAACCTTTTAACGATCTATGCCGCCCTCTGTACACAGGGTACTCTATACAATATCTACTTAGGTTCAGCTCCAACACAAAACGTATGTTCCATACCCATAGTTTAGATGTACAACACAGTTTTATTGGCAAAATGTCTACATTCTACACCCTATTATTATTATCCATAAGCAGCTTATTGGTATTTAAGCGCTCGGGCCAAGTTATTGAATTCGCTGTCGTCAGAAGTGGTATCAAGCAACTCCCCAGCAGGGCGGTACTCCATCACAGCTTATTAGTAATTCTTTTTCATCAGTGAATTATACCTTTTTTCTATCTTTAAGGATCATTGGTCAGTTGCTACTAAATATGGAAGGCCCCTAAGCAAAAGCATCAAATATGTTGCTCGTAACCGTTTGAACTTATTATGTAACGGAGATCAGTTCTAGAAGATCCGACTTGGCTTGAAAATTTGGCAGTTGACGACGAGTTTACTTTTAACACTTGAAATTGTCGAGTATTTGATATGAGACATGTAATTGATTACGCAAATAACTCAGATGTCTCCCCTTTAAAGGTATCCTAGGTTGAAAATTGTCTAAGTCTTGAGGCTTACGCTATATGCAAACGAATTCTTTCCTAGCGGACCTTGTACTGGAAATGTTGAACTTCCCACATAATCATCGCTTTTTAAGTAAACCCCACTTAGAGTATCGAAATATAGTTATGATTCCGTCACTCCAAAAAACTAAGAATACATTCGAACATATCCAAAGGTGAATAATAAAATCATTTAAGATAACTAAACTCGAACCTTGTGAAGAGCGCCTAAAATCGCTTAATCTTTACCCATTAGAGTATTGGCACCTCAGGGGTGACCTGCTAATGACTTACAGCATCCTAAAACTGCTTGGCACTACCTTAAACTCCTACTTAAGCTCAGTCTCATCACAAAACTTGTTAGTGGCACCCAGAAACAGGAGGCACTTCATATCAGAATGTAGTAAAGCTGTTTATGAGTAGTCGAATTCTGCAATTCACTGCCAGATGTTGTGGTTAATGCGAATTCACAGGAGTCTTTCGAGTGAGGACTCGATATATGCTTAGGAACTCAAAACAGTATTTCATTGAAATCTACTGATATTTCTCCTGTTCCCGTTAAATATATCACTAGGCATCAGTAATCCACTGTTACCAGAAGCCCGTTAAGAGAAAGTTTCTTCCATTTCGACGCCGCTAACCTTTTGACTGAACAATGCTCTCGGACATTTCAACCGACCCATACCGACTATACTGATGATAGCTTCATCTGCAACTCCAAAGAACTTTCCGAATTGAACCTGAGCGCTGACTTGGTGTTCCGGAAACTGCAGCACTTAAGAATAGAGACTTCTCCTGGCCCGGATATGGTCCATTCTGCCATACTGAGAGAAGCAGCCTCAATCCTGGCAACGCCGCCTAGCCTGATGTTCTCACACTTGATAAGCCGAGGAAAACCACCGGAAAATTGGAAGCTGGCTCACATCACACCAATTTTCAAAGGTTGACGCGGCGAAACTTCAAATTACCGACAGGTGGCTCTTCTCTCAACACATTCAAAAATTATAGAGTCCCTGATATGCGATGGTATAAATGACTATTTACTGTCCTTAGATTTCTTCTCATCCCAACAGCATGGTTTCAGGAAGGGTTACTCTTGTATAACCAACCTGCTGACTGCGGTGGACAGATGAACAAGCATCCTCGATCACAAGGGGAAGGTTGATATCATCTACCTAGATTTCTCAAAAGCTTTTGATAAGGTTAACCATACATGTCTTATCAATAAGCTCAAACGATTGGGTATCAGACCACTTTTAATCGATTGGCTTACTTCATACCTGAAAAATCGACACTTTAAGGTTTGGGTTAATTTCACTTTATCTCAGGCTATGGAATGTCCTAGTGGGGTCCCCCAGGGCTCAGTACTAGGACCTCTTCTCTTCTTGATCCACATAAATGATCTTCCTTGACAGGTAACGTCAGGATTATTACTCTTTGCCGATGATGTTAAACTTTGGAGAGAGATGCGCAATCAAGACGATATACAGGCACTTCAGGAGGATCTGACTCGACTTCAACTTTGGTCAGACGATAACGGACTTACATTTAACACTTCAAAGTGTAAAGTGGGCCATCTGCGACATGTCGCAGACTAAAGTTATAGCTTAGGAAACTCCTCTCTAGTAGTATCTCAAGTCTAAAGAGGTTTAGGAGCCCTGGTGCTCCATGATTTAAAGTCTTACGCTAACTGTGACAAAAATGCTTTCCGAGCAAACCTTGCACTGGTAACATTGAAGCTCATTTTTGGCCAGTTTGACGGAAGAACTTTCCATATAATCTTCAATAGTTTTTTTCGTCCCCATTTAGAGTACGGAAACATAGTATTTCCTCCCTCACTCTAAAAGGATAAGGACACTCCGGAGCGTATCCAACGGCGAATGATGAAATCATTTCGAGGACTCAAATTTAAACCTTATGAAGAGCACCTCCATTCACTTAACCTTTACTCATTAGAGTATAGACGTCATAGAGGTGACCTTCTTATGGCTTACAGTATCCTTAACACATCTGAACATCCTCTTAAACACCTACTTAAGCTTAGTTCGAGCACTAACCTAAGGGGTAACACCCAGAAACTGGAGACACAACATAGCAGAACAGACTGTAGACACGACTTTCAATCCTTAAGAGTTGTGAAATGCTGGAATAAGCTGCCGGTCAAGCTAGTCCAAGCGACTTCCCAGGGGTCCTTTAAGAGGCAACTTGATCTATTCTTATGGATTAAGGATAGTATCATACTATGATTTACCAATTTCTTTTTCCTCTTTTATTGTTAACATACCTAGGTTCCTGCCCGGAGGTTTTGGTGGTCCCCTGTTACTAGGCACGGAAGCCTGTTAAGTGAAAGCTTCTCCTATTCCGTCCACAACCATTTGAACCTACTGATCGCACCACATATTGTTAACTTATGTTTACTTCATTCAGATTCATTGAGGAAATAACAACAAGTGAATCGACCTATCGCCAAGAATGATATCTTAATAAGCATACACAGATCCAAAGTCATATAGTTTCCTACTTTCGACAAGCAAATCATGGAATTTGAATTCACTGCGCTTTATTCAAGCTCCTCGGAACTCGTGGTTTACTGACGGGATTTACTTTTATCACCGTAAACCATGTCGTTATCCCGTCTGGTCGTCGATAATAAATCATACGTATGTTCCTTCTAGATATGTTCATTACCTTTACAGAGTTTGAAGTATAAACTGTTTCCCAGAATATCCTGGAGGACCGCAGTCACAATCGGTATCCCGCTTGGTATAGCCGGTTTGACCGTCCTTGTATATTACCTCAGAAACAAAAGTAAGTCATAAGTTTTTAGGAAGTGCTTCGTTTTCCACTGTCCCGAGTTGTCTTGTTGTTTTAGCAAACAAACTGATGTAAGTTGGTTTAGCAATATATATATATATACATATATATATATATATATATATATATATATATATATATATATATATATATATACCATAGTCAGGATTTCTGTAACAACTATAATACTTATCACTATACAATCTGAGTTTTTAACTGACTCTACAAGGGGAATATCTGTTCATGTTCAAATCTTCATGAGACCTCGCCTAGATTCCGATCTAATTCTTCCCGTTAACTTTCTCCGTATATTATTGAGTTAGTTGTGATTTTAATCTACTGTCTGACGCTCCATCAAAATGTTGTCTGTAGTGTTACTCAACTTTCCAATCCTTAATCCCTAGACTTAGCTGTCCATCTCATGTATATAATCTTTTACGAGGCTGCATATATAACGAAATGCGTTACTTAATAAGCGGTTTCTAGTTAGTTTAATAGCTCTTAAGTGCATACCAAATAACATTCCAAATGAGTTTACAGTGTAAAACTACTTGTTAAGACGTCTCATCGCAGATATCGTAATGTTAGATCACACCATTGCTCTAGAATTGGGTGTAGAACTTATAACATTCCCCTAAGTACTCAGCTGCTTAAATCATGTTCTTATCGGTTTGGTGAGTGAAAGTTCGTTGGTAATTCATATTCTTTTTATTTATTTTATTCAAACATAAAAATTGGTACAAGGAGGCACCAAATAGATATGTGCCACATAAACCATTCGATTTATGTGAGGGCTATGATATTGCTCGGGTGCCCAAACCGAAGCATTCATATTCGTGTGAGTTAATCACAAAAACTTGGCTGCATACCTTGGTATTACCATATCTAAGTGGTGTGGATCTGTTGTCTGGAGAAAGACTTTTCAACCTTGAGTATGCGGATGATCACAATGGCGTTGGTGTACACACTCTTTGTTCTCCCTTAAACCGTGAGATTGGAATCGCTCTGTATCTTTCTTTCTACGAACTAATTCTTTCTTCCTGTACTGTATCCTTATACACAGTCTTTCTTTTATACATTACTACCATTGAAGTGACTACTATGAATTTGGTGTTCTTGTTGTGCTAATGAGGTGTGGCAACTTGGACCGTTGTACATATGTGCCTGGTCCTACGTTGTAGACTGAATTACTGATTTGGCTGTTTGAAAAATGTAATAGGACAGCCACGTTTCACACAAGATATGGTTTGTATCAAATTACAAGGCGGCAACTTCTTATCGTGCGCATAATGGATTTGATTTAGGTTTAATAAGTTTAAGAGAATAAAGCATTACATTCGTATGAAAATCGGCTCCATTTTATTGTCTTACTGTGCGATGATACCCAAGCCATGCAATCCTCACATAATCAGTTGGCAATTAGTGTCCGTAGGTATGGTATGTGCTTTGCACCTTTATAGTGCAAGGCACTTTTACGAGACTCACAGGACCCCCTAGATCCTGCACTTACCCTGAGCAGTGAGTAGATAGAAGTAGTCGAGAAGTTCGTGTATCCGGGTGGCTGCATAAGTGCTGGTGGTGACATGAGTGATGATATCAATTCACGTATAGTAAAAGCCAGAGCGTTTTATGTCAATATAAGCCATCTCCGGCGCCTTCTTGATGTTAGTCTGGCTGTTACATGTTGGATCTACAACGCGTCGGTCAGAGCAGTTTTGCTCTGTGCCTGTGAACCTTGGCCTCTCCGAGTTGAGGATGTTAGACGACTGTGTTTGATCATCTTTGTCTCTGAAGGATTGCTGATGTCCACTGGCAACACTATGTTAATAATTCAGGGGTCCGGTATTGTGTGTTTGGGTACGGCGACGATAATTCAATTATAGCAACTATCTTGAAACACCGACTTCGTGGCTTGGTCATGTCCTATAAATGTCGTCCCAGGGAATTCCACGTCGTGCTTTATTTTCCGAATCTGGGATTGGTTGGAAAGAGCGGAGTGGTGGTTAGTGAATGACATGACGTTGTGGTATAGAAGAAAGCTGCACAGGACTGGCTTCTGTTGGTCCTTCACGACTCCCTGGTTGGGGTCCGAGAGATAGTGCAACACAGTGGCTAGAGACGTTATCAGATGTGGCTTAGAATAGAAGCCAGTGGAGATCCTGCTGTAACTTTATTTATAGAAAATGGACGCAACTTCTTTCGTTGAAATAATTCTTTTTGGTTGTATTTTCGCTAACTGAACTGTTTCTCCTATCAATATTATAATTCCCATACACTCATTTCTGTTTGTTGTTCTTGTTTTATTAAACGCACTTTACATTCTCTATCTCTTTAAAACTCATTGTTATTGTGTGGCGCATATGCATTTGGTGCCCTCTCGTACCAATGTTTGTGTTCAAATAGAAATCTCGACCATAGACCTAGAATAGCTGAGTGACTAAAAAGGGATTTGGCTGAAATATCACTATCAAAAAGTATAACAACTTCAGCAAATGTTTTACGATCCAAGTTTTATTTCAGACTTGGTCACTTATACATGATCATATTGATGCCTTTAATACTTGGTTTTGTGTATTCTGTTACAAACTGTTTGGTGAGCATAATAATGAATCTCACAATCAAACAATTTGTAACAGACACGTTACTTTAATCTCTATGTGATGGTGAAAATGTGTTAAGTTTTTCAGTTATAGTAAAATATTTGTATTTAAGTAATATTTGATGTCAAATTATTCTTTGAAAGAAAATGTAGGCATTAAAGAATCCATTTTTTTACAGAAGAGAAGAGTGAAGCAGAACTTACTCCAGAAACACCATTAGAGGCTGCTTTAGCGTTAAAGCTAAAAGGAAATAAGTTTTTCAAGGGTGGACAGTACTCTCAGGCAATAAGTTTATATGATGAAGGACTTAAGAAATGTCCATTGGATGCAGTTCAGGTTAGTACAACTTGTGTGGCACATATGTATTCGCTTCCCCTTTGTACCAATATTTATATGCTCAAATAGATAAATACAGTACAACTATTACACTTAGTTACCTTAGTTTAAAATCTGATCAATATAACTTTTTCTTTGTTCACAGACCAAAAACTGATTCTTCTTCGTTCTTCAAAGTACCGATTCTACTTCACCACTTTAGAGAGAAGAGTTAATTTAGTGATTAAGGGGTTCAACTTCTAACCACTAGGTAGGAAGTTCGAGTCCCCACTCACCATCTTGTTTGGGTATCCGAATAGTAATCACTGACCCTCACACATAAAATGTGGCTGATAGCTGAGTATACGAATCGGCACTCGTTAAATAAGGTGCTTCATGATTATCATAACTTTAAATGCTATATAGACTAGCTCACTTTCTGCATTCAACTAAAGTCATATGTGTTGTCTCGATTGAAATCAGGAATCAAAAACTCAGTATGTGAATCTAAGTTTCAAATTGTACAACCTAAAAGTATTTGTTGTAAATATCATTTGACCAGACTGTTTTTACTAGAATAATACGCAAATAAGATTCACAGCCTTTCTAAGCGACATGTAATCTAGAATCTGACTCAGCGGTGGTTAACTGTATCTAATTCCATCTACTTTTAACTTCCACTGGACTCACAGTCAAATTCTCTGGTACAACTGAGGGTGGAAAGAGTCGGCTCTCTCTCCAAATGCTCTCATAGGACCACGAATATACAGCTACTATCATGGAAGTTCTACTCACTGCCTTCTCGGACGGGAGTGTTTACGAAGCTGCGAAGACGAAAACCTATTGTTTAGCGTGGACTTAAACCAAGTTGATGGGTACGAAGAGTCCGCCCTTATTCCGAAACAAATGATGCACATGAGCTCCAGTATCCCGAGGGGACAAATGGCGTATAAACCTATTGTTGGCCATCGGCTACCACAGGACTGCATCTCCTAACGTTGTTCCATTGCTTTGTTGATTAGATTTTTTAGTCAAAGGCTCGGGGAAAAACCCTTAAGAAGACCACTTCCGTTTTAGGCACCCGGGCAGTATTGCAGTCCACACAAATTAAATGATTTGTTGGGCTTATGTATATTTTTGTTTGTGTGTTTAAATTAATGAATAACACTTAGCTCTAAACTGGAACTACGGGACACCATTAACTACAAAATAATCGAGGAAATTCCAGACCTACTCGAAAGGTTTGTAAGTCCAACGATTACCACTTTCTAGATCAGGGAATATAGACTTATTCGGATGACACTATCATCCTACTGACAAGACAATAACCACACTAAATTTACATAATTGAAACGCCATAAAATGATGTAAATGCTTTAACTTTTGTCCTGAATAATAGCCGTTATCCTTGATATTTTGATCACGTATGAGATTTTGGAAAGCTGACATATGAGCTTCTCAGGACAAGTATTTACTTATGCCTGTTAACCCTCATGGAAAATCATAATCCACTTACCAGCATTCTCTACGCAACTCTATCCTGGGCAATCATTTCCAGTTGCTATTCATCCTTTTCATATCTGCTTCCAATTCTCGTCGTAGTGTTTCCTTTGGTCTTCCTCTTTTCTCTTTCTCTTCAGGATTCCAAGTTATCGATTGCCTCGTGATACAGTTTGATGATTTCTTCGATATGTGTCCTATCCACTTCCAACGTCTTTTGCTAATTTCCTCTTCAACTGAAAGCTGGTTTGCTCTCTCTCTCATAGTAGGTTGTTTGTGATGGTATCTGTTTAACGGATGTTGAGTATGTTGTGTAGACAGTTATTCATTAATACTTGTTCCTTTCGATGATGGTTATAGTAGTTTTCGAAGTTCCAGCTCCGTACAGTAGGACTGTCTTGATGTTCGTATTAAAGATTGCGAGTTTGATATTGGTTGACAGTTGCTTTGAGTTTTGTCTGTTCTCCAACTGTAGGATTGCTGTCCTTGCTTTGCTAGTCTTCGCCATTACGTCTGCATCTGATCCTCCTTGTTTATTGACGATTCTGTCAAAGTAAATGAAAGATTCCACATGTTCAAGAGCTTCTGCATCAAGTGTGACTGGGAAATGTTCTCTGTTGTGTATTTAAGGATCTTTCCTTTTCCCTTGTGTATGTTAAGGCCTACTGCTGAAGAGGTAGAAGCTTTTGCTACACTTTTTGTCTTGACCTACACTTGTTGATGTGTATGGGATAAAGGGGTCAGGTCATCTGTGAAGTCCAAATCGTCTAGTTGTATTCAACCTGTCCATTTCACTCTATGCCTCCCGTCAAATGTGGAGGTCTTCATAATCCAGTCAACCACCAGAAGAAAGAGAAAGGAGGAGAGAGTATGCAGCCTTGTCTGATTCTGGTCCTTACTTTGAATGCTTCTGTCAGCTGTCCTCGATGCACAATTTTGCAGTGCAATCCATCGTACGAATGATGTTGACGACTTTCTCAGGTACTCCATAGTGTCAACGGAGTTTCCACCATGTTTTATACACACTGTCAAACTCCTCATAGTCAAGGAATTCGATGTATAGTGACGAATTCCATCCAATTGATTGTTCAACGATGATCCGTAGTGTCACAATTTGTTCTGTGCACGACCGATCCTTACTGAATCTGGTCTACTGATCTCCTAACTAAGTGTCTACTGAATCTTTAATCCGGTTCAGCAACACTGTTGAAAACCTTTCCTGGTACTGACTATAGTGTGATTCCTGTGTAGTTCGCACATTTGCTTAGCTCTCCTTTCTTTGATATATTGATGAGGTGTCCTTCTTTTCAGTCTGTCGGTATCACTTGTCCTTCCCCCCAAATCTTCATGAATAGAGTATGAAGCATGTTTACAGTTTCAGGACAAGTGGTGTGTATCGCCTACTTTCTCTTTAACTCAGTTTTATTTATAATCGATTTTCTTCATTTTTAAATAACCTAAACATTAGTCCTCTACAAATATATCAGTAGTAAAGAAATGAGGAAGGAGTGATAAACATAAACCTGAATTTTTGGCACGTAGAAAATGGTAAAACAGTTCTGAGGTCCAATCATTTTGAAAACTACATCTAAAACACTATATCAATCGTTGTAATGTTTATTATATTCTCATTTGTTTTGTACCAGATTTTGTACGGTATTTTATTAATTATTTAGGAACGTGCAGCTTTCTATCAAAATCGTGCAGCAGCCAAAGAGAATCAACGTCAATATGAATCTGCCATTGAAGATTGTTCTCTTGCATTATCATTAACACCGCATTATTTGAAAGCATTAAATCGTCGAGCACATTTATATGAAAAATTAAAAAAATGGGATGAGTGCCTTTTAGATATGACAGCTTGTTGTATTTTTGAAAAATTTAAAAATGCTGTAAGTGATTAGTATCATTAACTGATGTATACATATTTATAGATTGTGTATAAATGTAACCTTAACACACTGTTCATTTGATTGTTTTACCAAACACACGACACCTGTGATTAGTTACTAATAAATTATGTATCCCATCATTCTGAGTACTGGGTATATATTGATTACTACTGTGTGTATGTGTCTACATATACATGGAAACTACTGGTAAACGTTGTGAGCATTAATGTTATTACTTAAGTAATATTTAAGCCGGCTTTAAGGCTCCAGTGTTTGTGCTCTGAATAACCTTCCGCATGATTATACAATGTGTTACAGATAACTTTTTGTAGTACACTATTTGACTGACCTATTCGTGTTATATGATATGATATAAATACTATTTTGAGATTAGGTACAGAATTGGCGTTTAAGTTATCTGACTTGTATAGTAGTTATCCATTTTTGGATATTATTTATTACATGCAAGTAGGGGAACTCATCGGTCGGATTGTCAGCCATGATAATATAAATATTATCCAACTGACATAACTCAAAATTAGTCACAGTCTAGCAAATGTTTATTCATTCTTATCTCCTTTCAATTACTAAGTTTCAGTTCTATTTTACACCTTTGATCTGAATTCAATTAGTTAGTGTTTAAAGTGTTTGACTTCCAACCACTCGGTCTCAAGTTCAAGTTCTATTCTACCTACTTTGGTCTGGGAACCCACGCCGTATCCGTCATATTTAAAGTGTGGCTCAAAGCCAAGCACATGAATTTGTTCTTGGTAAATGAATTAGATAATCGGAAACTTATGTTGATCCATATTTCTCCTAGGTTTTATATTAGTTGATTAACAGAGGTTAACTTTACCAATTTTCGTCAGAAATCAATGTTTACATTACCAGGTATCAGACAAAAAGTAATCACCATCATCATCATACTTCGATAAGGAGTCAAATTCATCGTTAATTTACATGAATCGATGTTTATTTCAATTTCTTATTCTGGTCCTGCTCTCTGTAATGTAACAATCGTTCACTGAGTTCCTGTGATAAGTAGAAGTGGTAGAATTCGGTATGCTAACTAGTAATTCCCTAGAATTGTTCAGTGCGAACTCTAATAGTCAAAAAAGAACTAGTGCTCAAATGAGAGAGGAAGCGGTGAACGCACTTGAAGGTATTGTATTTTGTTATTCGAATAGGCCTCACAATAATGCACACGGTAATTATGATTACATATGCTCATCACCGTTCCTTGCGTTGTGTTTTTATCAAAATAAATTGTATGGAGTGTACATATATAATCCACATTATTATTATTATTATTTATTTATTTCAGGACAACATTGTTTTCATGGATCAAGTACTCAAAACAATTGGACAACAGAAAGCTCAAGAAGAACGTTCCAAATTATTGCATGAATTACCATCAGCTTCTTTTATTCGTAATTATTTGAGGTAAGATGATAGATGATCGTTTGCCAATAACTAAAACAAACTTAATAAACTCAGGGTTTATGTACCGAGCTTTTTAGATCTAAAAGTTGGCTATCCTATCCCTTTGCCTGAACTAAGGATGTCGTAAGGAGATTCGAACCTTTGGATCTTACTGTGGTCGAAACCAAATATTAATACACCGTGTCTGACGAAATCTCAATATGGGTTTTAAAAAGTTTGTTTGACTTTTGCTAGGTTCTATCACGTTTGGCGTAGACAAATTGTTTGTTTGCCAACCAAAAGATGGTTACATTGACTAACTATACGTTCTCTTCTCATTTATGGCTGTAAAGCGCGGCTTTTAAAAATAGAGGATCCCTACAGGTTATTAGTGTTTGACCATTCATGCTTTCCAAGCAGTATTGCTTCCGTGTTTTGTGAACAATAAGTAAGCAATACTAAAATTAGACTCAAGGTACTTGGGAAAAACGGTAAGTCGATTTGTTAGGTTTCGAGTCGTAATCGATTGATGTGGTTAGGACTCAATTAATATATGACTTGTATCTAACGACCGCCTGTGTTGACACCCCATGCTAGCTGATATGGGAGTAACTTGGAAGAAAAAAGATAGAGCTGCCCAAACTGAAACGTGGCACCAGCCCATCGAAATCACTGACTGTTCGATTGGGCTATATTGGTTGGGGTTCATGCAATTTTCTGTAGGCGATAATTAGTGACGTTTAATGACATGGCTCGGATGTATCTGCTCTTTATCTTCCTTTTATGTTTTTAGTTGGAAACTTATTCTATACGTTTTATTTCACTAATTCATGCCTTTTGAATCATATCATCCATCCCTAATCGTTTCTTCGTACTACCATTGAGACTGTTATAACTTTTAATACTCTGGAATTTGTCCTGATAATTTCATCCAGTTGTACTGATTTAGTGTTACAACTTGAACCGATGGATATATGTGTATCACGTCCTGTTTTGCAAATAATTGATTGACGGCGACTGCTTTACTGTGATAATATCCCAAGCTGCTTTAAATTTAAACATGTATTCATATGAATGATTGCAGTTTGTTGTATTTATTGTGTTTATTTATACTCAAATGTTGGTACAGAAGAGCACCAAATATATGTGTGCCACACAGTCAGAAAATGAGATTGTGAAGAGATAGATGAATAAGGTTGCGGATAATCAAAAACAATGGATAGATAAAAATAAGTGAACAAAAGTAGTAAATTATGGGAAAAGCGGGTTCAGTTAAAAAAAATAAAACTAGGACGAATCCTTCCAACCGAGGAAGTTCCTCTCACTTAAGGACTTCACCCGTGGGTTCACAAAGGACCGACAAACACCAATCATGTGCAGTTTTCTTTCTTACCCAAGCACCATATCATAAAATGATCACCGTCCCACTTTTTCCAACCAGTTCCAGAGTAGTCGGCAAGTAATGCCCGATATGGAAGCTACTGGGATAATATTTGTAGCATATGTCTAGGCCATCGAGACCGATGTCTCAAGATGGTGACATCGGTCGGATTATTGCCACTGTCTGGACTCACATTGCCGGATATCAGCATTGCTAACATGCTTTTACCATTAATATTGATTATCAGTGTTAGTTGTATTGATAATGTAACATGAAATAAACAGAAGACTAGTTTGTGTATGATGCTAATACTGCCTTTAACACTTCTGTTAAAGTTTGAGTGAGATAATCACTCTTATCACTTATCTGGTTAAATGATTTTATAATTTTTCTCATGTGTCGATTAGATCTTTTTTAAGACAGTTTAGTGTATGTATGTATGTATTATTTATGTACGTTTAGAAAACCCGTGATGTAAACAAACCGTTCCTTTGCATGATCATCATCATAGTAATAATACTACTTAGCGCAATAACTATATATCTTCTTACTAAATGGTTGTTCAGAAAACAAATAAACTAAAAGACTACACTCGTTATTTTCTTATGGATGATTTTAACCTTAAAATCTCTTAGTTTTTTTCTTTTTCATCTTACTGTGTTTATTGCTACATTTAGGTTTCTAATTTCAAAGGGTTTCATGCATTGTTTATACTAATGAGAATTGATTAGGTCACTCTATTCATGGGTGCGGATTTCAGTAGTCATATATAATGTATTACTGTGATCGTGGAACAATGACACTGTCGTAAAGGTCTTCGGCTACCAAGTTCTAAGCTAGAACTCAGTTCTGTCTACTTCAGCTTTATTAACTGAGTTGTTTCACTCGCTTTCGTACTTAAAATGTGCCTCAAAATCAAGTACACTAATCTGTACCTGGTCACTGAAGCAGTCTGTCATTATGAATTTGGTTATTGCGAAAATTTAATATGATCAACATTGCATCTGAAGAAATTCAGTAGTTTGGAGCCCTTAGATTGATAAAATGTTTCTTCTGTAAAAAGGCATGAATTGGTATATTACTTAATTTAGATGAACCATTTCTCAACCAATTTCGAACTTACAGTTTTAATCAATATCCTTTCCGAGTTGAATAATAATTACCTAGGTAAAGCCTATCTAAAACTACTCATTAAAAGGGCCACCCATGACCGGCCTCAAGGAATTGTCCTTGGCTCTGTAGTCACGTTCTCAGATCGTTAAAAACCACCTTCAACCGAGTTAATCTTTTAAGGTACCTTAAGAAAAAGTATCCTTCCGTCGTGTGGAGAACCGAAAAACGGAAACCATCCTCACACCTGACACCATGTATTTTAGTGCACGGTATCCAGGTCTGATATTTATACACAAACTTCCTATATACAGGCCTCAGCTGACTCAAAGCGCTGGTTTTGGGGCTTGATCTCATATATTCATCCCACTCTAAATATATCATGAAATAGTATATTTACTTCTGTAATATGACATTTATATCCTGGATATTCAATACTTGTATCGATTAAACAGTTTTAAATAAATAAAATGAAATAAATGCCATATGAATACAGCCACTACCGTTGGATCTTTAAAAAATATATCCAAGTGTTTATAATCACTGATCACGGAATTTTTTCAAACTAGAAACAGATATCTAGAGATTCTCATCCCAGTTCATGGTTTTTACTCCTATTGAACGATTTGGACTTGTTCACTTTTCAATTTATTTTTGTTGTAACGTGTTTACTATTCTTTATAATACAACATTTGATACTCTCACTGTATCAACTAAAAACATGTATGTGTGTCTAAACAGGCTTTTGAGATTTGTATTAAGCAAAGATTAGTGGATTTTGATTATCTATGCACTATTTATCTCTGTTCATATCTATGGTTACATGCATGTTCAGATTTCTACTTGCTCAGCTTTCTGTATAATGGTGATAATAATACTGTTTCTTATTCGTTTAAACCTAAATAGATAGAGATGTGATTCGAGAGTCTACTCTCCCTCTCCAAATGCTCTCACATGGTCACGCGTATATAGCCTCTGCCAGGGAAGTCCTACTCACTGGCTTCTTGTGGCGGGGGTGTTGTTTACGAACTCGAGAAGACGAAAAGCGAATGTCCAGCGCTTTAACCCGGTTGGTGGACATGAAGAGTCCACCTAGGGGAGTTGGAAAATACTGATTCCAAACCAATGGTGCACATGAGCCTGAGTATCCTGAAGCAACAAATGGTGTATGAACCAATTGTTGGTCACCGGCTACCGTGGGACTACATCTCCCTACGATGCTCCACTGCATTGTGGATCCGACCTTTATGTTGAAGGCTCAGTGTGTTCCCCCCTAAGAAAACCACATCCTTCGGTTTGGGCACCCGAGCAATATCACAGCCCACACACAAATCTAGTGGCTTGTGTGGCTCATATGTATTCAGTGCCTCTTTCGTACCACTGTTTGTGTCAAAATAAATAAATAAGTTAAAAAACGAAAGTAATATATCAAGTAATGAGTGTGATTTGATTTTGAACAAGGTAGTTTTCACTTTGCCGTTTCTCACACTCCGTGGTAGGGTAATTTTTAAATGAAGTTGAAAAGAAAGCTGGGTCAGTAGTGGTCTTTACGAACTGACAGCGTAACTTCGGCTGAACTACTTGAGTTTGACCTCATACCGTCTTTTTATTAATCGCTTTAAATGTGTTGGTTCTGAAACACTAAAGTCTTATCACTAGTGACCAAAATCAATGGAGCAAGGTAATATGTTCTTTTTTTAGGGTTTATATTTTCTTATTTCTCTCCTATTATGGAATGACAGCACCACTGAGGATGTTAGTTGATTGGAAGAAACAATTTATTACTGTCATAATCTGAAAGAACTAATATTTTAACCAGTATAGCTTAATTGAGTCATCATAATATCCAAGTCTAATTACCATCTCAGAGAACCAGTTACGGTCAGAAAGACGAGGGCTTTAACCAATTTATTACCTTTTATGTTTATTTCTTCATACTAATTAATCATTGAGTAAAATATGTGAAATTGTAGATTTCATTACAGTTAGGACGGTCATATGAATAAATATTTTGTTTTAACCACTAGTAATATGTAACAGTATAGCTCAAAGTCTGTTTTTCTTTCTATGTTATCATAGTCAGTTAAATGTTTGTGTACACACACTTATCCTAGATAGGATGAGCTAAATTAATTTTGGGTAATCAGTTTAATTGTTACTTACACGTAGATTCTTTTACATCTCATTATTTAATATCCCAATCTATTTCCAGCTTTTCATAATCATATGATGAAGCATAAATAAGCATTCCTCACTCACTGTTTCACAAAATGTTTGTGACAAATTTCAGTATATTAAGCTAATCATCATTTAGAGTTTTGAAGCGTTAGCTTGGTAATCAAGGCGTTCGATATTCAGTCACTAAGTCCCGGATTAGCAAACAATTAGAATTAACAATATTGAAAAAATCACTAATCATCGAAAAAATAGTTGCAAAAGATATGTACAAAGGAATACTAAGACTCAAACACCAGAGGGAAAACAACGAGTAAATACATTTGAACCGTCTCAGCCTACTCTGAACCACATCATTTAACGTCTTCAATCAATGTGAGCGCAGATTCCAACCAGGTGGTCAACATCTGCCAGAGATTACGACATTTTCAGAATCATCTTAAGCTACGAATATTCTCCATCATCTCAGTATTTTGTTTGTGTGTTTTCTTGTTCATACAGCCAATATTTAACAATTTTTTCTCTCATCCTTTTCTTCAATTTAGCGCATTCGCATGTAATCCATTCACAGTTAATTCTTCACAACTATCCAAGTATAATTCACTGACTGAAACTAAGACTGCAATTAACGGAGTAACTGATGATCATCCTGTATCAAATATGCCCAGCACCACAGAAGTACCCAATAATAACAATCCTAATCAATATGATTGTACACAATTTAAAGAACCTCTTCAATCAGCGTTTAATAATGTAAATTCAGCCTTAGATTATATGACGAAAGGTGATTATCAACAGTCAGCTGATCATGCGATGAAAGCCGTTAATTTGTTCGAATCAGTGAGTGTTTCTTTTATTATAAATTCTGTTATGTGTGATTGATGATATATATATATGGTGTATAGATCTGTTTCATCTCATGGATTTCCATATAAGTATGTCTTCTGACGTTCATTGCTTCGTGAACTAGTCTTTAAGGTCAGGGACTCAACTGATTTGTCGGGGAGATTGTTTTATATAAAAGCTACCAACTTCAATTTTGGCACATGTAGAAGAATAGGAGAAGAGGCATATCGCTTACACAGAAGTTGGTATAAATCTTTTCTTAGGTGTTCTTTTTTTACCACCCATCTTTTCTGTGTCTTCTCAATAGGTAGTTGTATCAGATTAGTGGTACATCCACTCTTTGTCCTTGCTATGCTTCCCCACTATTCTTCTTCCTATTTCACTATTTTATTTATTCGTGAATTGTATCTTGGATGCCTAATCTGTTCTATTATCACTAATACTGTTACTACTTCTATTTCTCTGGGATTTATCTTGATAATTTCGTCTTGTTATATCGATTTGGTATGTGAACTTAAAACAATAAACATTTGTGCTACGTATTCTACGTTGCATTAGACTGACTGTCTTAATAATGTACCTTCATTCCAATGCCTTTAGCTAAATCCGAGAAGTGAGTCCCATACTTCAGGAGGGTACAATTGTACGTTAGGCTAATCCGAAGTTGGTCAGATGATAAGAACATGCGATCGGCCAAGAAATGGCTTACATTTCTTAGGAATGAGACAGTTTTGCTGGTTTAATTTTCTAAGGGATACATATATGAGGAAGTGTACATGCTGATTCAGTTAGTCAATAAACTTCGTTTCTGACTCTCAGTCTTTCCACTCGAACATCATACAATACAACATTCAACTCTTTACTATTTATCTTTCAAAAACAGTATATGTAAAGAATCCGTTTTAGAAAAAATCTTAAAATCACCATAAATTCATTTAAAAGCAAATATTATCCAATCGTATCACTATAATTTCCGATGAATATAATTATGCCATTAGTATCAATCACAATATATGTTAAATAAACTTTGATCAACGAGGTTACTACTGTTTTAGATTTCCCATCTTCTGAAATTTCTCATCTGCATCAGTTATTTAGAGGCTGCTTTTGTGTTATTTCATCGGGCTTGTACAATCTTTTGTCATAAATGCAGTCAAAAAGAGAACACTATTGTGTTGGAAATCTTGTTATGTAAGGAAATATTCACAGATCTCACTGGATCTGGCTCGATGAAAACCACTGCCGATCATTTCGCCATAAATTCAATAACTAACTTGCTCAATATAAATACTCTTTAATAAGTGAAACTTATTGACATTTGTCTCACACTATTTTTCCATCATTTGTAATAATTTCTTCTAAGCATTGCTCACTTATGTTGAAAACAACTTATAGGTGATGCTAAGATTATATTCAGGATACTAGGTTGTTAAGATAATGAATATTCATCGATTGACATAGTCGGGAAATGTATCACGTGTGCCCCACCACCTATTTGAAATGTTAGTTGTTGTAAGGGTAGATTAAAAGAAAAATAGGTGACCAAACCAATTTGCGACATCAGTACATAAAGCCACTGATTGCTAGTCTGAGGTGTGGTAATAAATGCAGACTACGTGGTTAGTCTGCAAGATAACTGTGATCAGTGATTGAAGACTGGGTGGTATGGTTCAGAATCGTTCACAATGCTCCAGATGAATTCATTCTTTATCTTCTTTGTTAGATTTTAAATTTTAAAATTATCTTATACCTATCATTCCACAAATGCTTTCTTCTCACGCTATAATATCCATGCTTAATGTTTTCTACCAATAATACTGCTACTACTTCTACTATTCCACTATTTGTCTTGATAATTCCATCTTGTTATGCTAATGACGTATGGAAACTTGACTCAATACACATTCGTGCTGTGTGTCCTACGTAGCATTAAGCTGACTGTCTACTAATCACTATAAACACTGCTATATTTCTGTCTGTTTGTTTGTTGTTTTTACTTAGATCTTATCGGATAAATCGTTCGCAGATGTAAAGAATTTGATCAGTTCATCATCTGAGTTAGATGATAATGAAACAATTTCAAAATCAAATGATAATCTCATCTCTCCTGAATCTAATGAACATAATGGAAATGAAAATGAATTGGACAGCAAAGAAAACAATATCGTCACCACAACTTCAAATAATACTGATTCCCTCAATAAAATTAAAACAAATGAATCTATTCAAGTGTATATTAAAGAAGTATATAATCAAATTTCACTTTTACACGCTACTTATCAAGCATTAGCTGGACGTTCTGAAGAAGCAAAAGAACGTTTTCAAAATATTGGTATGGTGGACTCTGGAGCTTCATTAGTGGTTCGTGTTAATGCACTGATTAAATCTGCATGTTTATCAATGTCCGTTGATCAAGTAAGTTGAATCGATCTGTGTGTTTATAGTTGACCTTTTACTCTAAGATATTATTTTAGTTTTAAATGGGATTTTTTCGTAACTAGGCATTGTACATTTACTTCACCAACAACCGAAGAAATCATCATGGCTATCAGACACTTCAAATATGGGAAATCATCAGAAGCAGACGATATACCAGATGAGGCACTGAAGTCAGATATAGAAGTAACTGCAAAGATGTCTGACATTATGTTAAAAAAGGTTTGAGAGTAAGAACAAGTAACAACAGACTTGAGGGAGGATACTTCGTCAAGCTAACGAAAAAAGAGAACTGAAGAGGAATCACGCTGTTATCAGAACCGGACAAGATTTTCAACAGAATTGCTGAACCGAATGAAAGATTCAGTCGACAAACAATATCGAAATCAACACATTAGATTACGTGAGCATCAATCGAGTATCGACCAAATAACGACATCACAGACCATTGTTCAACAATCAATTGAATGCAACCCATCACTATACATCAACTTCCATGACTATGAGAAACCATTCGACAACGTGGATAGAAGAACTTTGTGGAATCTTCTTCGACAACATGATGTACACGAGAAGATTGTCACCAACATACGGAATTCCTACAACTGATTACACTGCAAAGTTGTGTATGGAGGACAGCTCACAAATGCATTTCAAGTGGAGATCAGTGTCAGACATGGCTGCTTACTCCCACCCTTTCTCTTTCTTCTAATGATCGACTGGATTGTGAAGACCTATACATCTCAGGGAAAGCAACGAAAACAGGGGACAGCTTGCATACAACTAGACGATTTGGATTTTGCAGATAACCTAGCTCTTTTATCTGATACACAGCAAAAAATCCACGTGAAGAAATCTAATGTAGTAACAACCTGTACATCCGTATGTCTCAAAATGCACAAAGAAAAAGCAAGATTCTAAAATACAACATAGAGAACATCAACTCAATCACACTTGATGGAGATGCTTCGGAACGGGTGAAAAGGTTTATGTACCTGAGCAGTTCAACTGGTAAAAATGGGGGATTTGATGCAGATGTGGACCGTCAGACAACACCATAGTCATAATTTTCAATACGAACATCAAGACAGTTCTATTATACAAAGCTAGGAATCGGATAACTACTACAACTGTCATCAAAAAGGTACAAGCATTCATAAACAGTTTTCTACGTAAAATACTCAATATCCGTAAGCTACACAAGATATATATATATAATTTTTGTGTGGAGAAAATCTTTGATCATTTCGATTTCGATTGGTAGTTCTAAGAATCGGATGAATATGATATTGATTTTTTCTTCTCAGCAATTAATCAGCGTAAATATCTCAGTCCTACAGGAAGATGATCAGTCAAAACTAGAATAAGTTATTGTGATAACGTCGTTGATAGTAGATGACATGGATTTGGATCCTAGATGGGAAGCATTATTTGAGATTGTTGGTACACCTTACTAACAGGAGCCAATTACCGTGGAATAAAGGTCAAGCGAGTTTTCCTGATGATTATGTCGAACCCACCCATTAAACTTATTCGTAAACGATGTTTAACTTGGTGTCGTAATCGGACCATAAAACTCCATGACTGTTGGTTTGAAACAAGTTGGTGGACGCAAATTACCTGGTCGGAGTCTGTACGATAATGGCGATTGGTGACTGGAGTTGCTTGAGGATGAAATGGCTCAGGAAAGTTCACAATAGCACAGATACATTCGTTTCCTTTCTTTATGTCTTGGATTTCAATATTTCCTCATATACATCTTTTCAATAAGCTTTTTCCTACTATATTATTGATCTTATTAATGTTCTTGCTAAATTATTTCGATTTGGTTTTTAATTAATCTTGGAAATTTCACTTCATCGTATCGATTTGGTATGACAACTAAAGCCAAAGCTCACTTGTGCTGGGTTTTACTTTTATGATAATTGGTTGACTGACGTCAGCAACATGACCTTAAACTTCACGAACGTAGCGAGTTGTTAGAATTTCTTCACAAGTTGTAAGCGGTTCAAACCAATTGTTCTGATCTCGACATATTCAGATATTATTGACTGTTATCAGTGATTGTGCGTGTGTGTATGTATCGTCTCACTTTCTGTAGATCGACTTTTTATATTCTTTCCTCTAATTCTTGATTTTCAACCTTTTCGTTATATTATTTTTCATTTTCCGCAGGAGATAAATGTGTTTTGATCTCCAAGTTATGATATACTATACAAGCATATGAGATGAAATCAACATAAAATGTATAACAAAATAGTCTAAATGACAATAATATTATTAAAAAGATGGATGTCTGATTAGGGCTAATATATCAGAAGCTCCTGGCATAAATTTACATTTTTTTAAAGTGATAATTTTTCACACTCATATTTTACAGTTTATTGTATCATATTTACCTTCATACATATTTTTCACATGCATAGGATGTAGCTGCTTGTCTTTATGATTTCCAACGTGCACAAAATGTTTGGCCTGAATGTCCGGATGTGTATCTTCATCGAGGTCAAATTAATCTATTAGCTGATCAATTAGATGAAGCATTGCATGATTTGAATACAGCTGTTAAATTAAAGCCGGAATTTTCAGTTGCACAGGTTAGTAGTTGGCTATACTTATTTGTGAGTTTTGGTGGGTAGGTGGGTAGGTGGGTGAGTGGACTGTTACATAACGAATCAATATAAGCTGGAGAATGATGATCGTTTATTAGTGTCATTGTTTATGGTTTTATTCAGTATTATATTTTCAGTGCAATTTGAATTCTCAGCACAAAGTATTTCAACAAGTTTCCGTTTCTTATTTCCTGATCGATCCTGACAATAAATATTGAGTGATTGCTAGTTAAATGTTAGCAGTCCAGGACTCGACATCCGAATAATACTCATTCCTTTCAGTGCATATTACCAACCACCACGATGTCTCTGATGATTGTACTTTGTAACTTGTACAGTGAAAGGTCGTAAACTTTTCATAAACGCGTCTCAATAGATTATGCAATTAATGGACATAATGATGTGTTAGGACAAACAAAAGGCAGGTAGCTTGTTGAAATATCTAAATGGAAGGAACAGATAGCCTATATATTGAAGCAGGCCGCGGGATGATGATATTTCCTAGTATTTAAATCATTCAATATTTACTAAGCCACAATTTTCTTATCACTTATTAATGTATATTTAAGGATTTTACTACAAGATTTTCATTTAGGCAATAACTATATCAACATTGTGCAACAATGTCTTTTATGTTCAGAATAGTCGTTTATTTATTTATTTAAACACGAACATTGGTACACAGGAGACTAAGATATATGTATAGGACATACAAATAGTTGAACTTATGTATAAGCTGAGATCCTGTAAGGGTGCCCAAACTGAAACAGGTGATTTTGTCAACAGCCAAAATTATTTATTTATTTATTTGAATACATAAACATTTGGTACAAAGGGGCACCAAATACATATTCACCTCATAATAACAATATAGCCAGTAGTAGTTATCATTGATTTGAGTGAGAGCTGTGATAATGCCTGGTTGCCCAAACGGAAGCATCTGGTTAGTTTGTGTTTTTACTAATAGTTTTATGGGTCTACATTACCGTACTGTATCATTGAATATGCAGTGAGCAAATTATTTCAGTTGATGTGAATAGCGAAACAAAAAAGCCATGACGAACATCGGAAGCTATTTTTGGGAATATTATATCACTTAATTCAAGGTTTGTAAAATAATAATATTTAGTTTTATCCCTAGGTTATTCTATAAACCATAAGCTTTCGTTTGATAGGCAGTGACAGAGGCGGTACTTTTGATTCTTAAATGGACATAATTCCACAAAATGCCATACTTCAAAAAGCCAACATTTTGATGGTGGTTTCTCAGTAAGTTCTTGTGTTTTTGCTGTGTTTTGTTTAGAAGATTTTAAGGATTCGACAGCATTCACTGACTCGAAATAAGATTTCGACTTCAGTTGCACCATCGCTGTATCATGTTTGAGATTTAACAAACGTTGAGACTTGGTTGTGACCATTTGAGAAGTGATGTTAGGCTCCTACTCAATGTGCATTAATATTCTAATGCGGATGTCAACATCTGCAAACAAAAATCAAACATTTAAACTGATCTGCTGTAATGTCATAAAAATTTTTAATCGTTCACATTCTCGATTTACTTTTCCAGCATCATCGGATGGAGATTTTGATATTTGAAAACATTGGTAGCAAGTGTGAAATGTGCTGTAGTTTCTAAATGCTCGTGTAAAGCGGGATGATACAGTTTTAATGTTACCTAAACTTTTAGTAGATAGTCCTCATTATTCAACACTTGCTATCAATGTTTCCCAATATCAAAATCTCTACTGATGAGTTCTAGATAAAATGAGACTCACTTCCTAAATTCCACTGCTACTACGAATATTCTAACCTAATACTTAACTTTTTGTGTTAAGTAATCGTTAAGTGACTTTTGTTTCTGTCTGTAATGATTCTGAACCTCGTTGGTTTATAAAATATCCCTATTAAAATATATCCTTCAATGTTTATACTTCCTTAATGTTCATCCACTCTTTTTCGCCCTAAAATATAATTTGTTTGTAATTTACATTCGTTATTGATTTAACTTTTTCTGTGGATTGTTTTTTCTGCTTTTTGAATTTTAGGCTCAGCGTTTGTACACTCTATATCGATGCGCATTAACTGCTGGTGATGTTAGTAAAGTGGATTCTCGTATTGAAGAGTTTCGTCGATTAGTAAAGAAATATCCCAATTGTTTGGAAACTCATTCTTTATTTGCTCAGGTAAGATAGATATAGACTAATTTCCAGGTATTTAGGTATGAACCATACTCTAATTGTAAGTGTTAATATTACTACTTTGTTGCCGAAACCGAATTAGGTGGGAGGAGGTTCGAACCTAGGAGTTAGTGGTCAAAAGTGCGACTTTATAACCACTGAGCTGTCTACTCTTATAACAACTAGTATTTTATATGTGAGAGTAGACAGGTGTGACCAGGAGGGCATATACTTCAACATATTGCTTATGCATTAGAATATCAGGTTTTCGATTAAGTTTGTGGGTTAATGAGTGCATTCAATCAGTAACTGAAGTTAGCGATTTTGTGTTGTCACCGACTAACTGTTTACAAAGTAATTAAAATTCAAATAAAAAAGAACATGATCTCAAACACAGTGAGATCATTCAAAATCACTTATGTTCAGAACTTGATTTAATTCCCAACTAAATCAGACAAATCTCTTACTTCATATTCTTATTTCCTAGTTAATTCTATCTTAATATATGAATACAGAATACCATGAAGAAGATATTTATACTATCAAACACTGTCACGTACATATTTTGTCTGATTTCCACAGGTGACTTAATTTCACAGTCCTTGGATAATACATATAAAGACTTCTTTTTGGGTGTGCTCACTTTTGTAGGGAAATTCGCTACATTGTAGTTTTAATTGTTGCGTAATTTTCATATGGAGTGTGTAGATCATTTCTATGAATTAGCTATGTGTGTGTGTGTGTGTGTGTGAAAACGTGTTAGCACTTTAAGAAACTTAAACTCTACCAGAAAAAAAGAAAACGGTTTACTCTATTCATCATCTCAAAGTGGAATATTAATGCTATATTCTGAACGAAAACAAACATGAGAATTCTGTTATGCAAAACGTTTCTTTTTCTATAACGTTAGGATTCATCTACGCTGAAATATAATAGAAAAACACTTGAGAGTATGTTAACCATTTGGCTTATCATAAAAGTTTCAACTTTATTGGGTAGTGTTCAATTGTACATTCCTGATACACTCATTAAAACTTTGTGATGATTTTGTGAAAATAAGGGAAAATCTAAGTACTTGTTAAGGATTTGGAGTCTATTTTTGTAGTTACCAGGTCTAACATCGATGTTAATTAGTGTGAATACTCAATCCCATCAGTCGATATGGTTTTATTCCTTCTTTTAAATCATAAACAATTGAGATCTTAAGTTTGAAACTCATTTGACTTATTGATTGTTTCTCTCAGATCAGGAAATTGAAATACTTTATTTTTATTATTATTATTATTATTATTATTACGTGCGTGACAAATAAATAGTTACTTATCACATTTACAAGACACACAAGGGGCTAGTTAATGCGATGTATCAATCACTCTCGCCCCCAAATGCCCTGGTATGGCCGAGAGCGGGGTGGGTTCGCCCTCCCTCTCGAAATACTCTCACAGGGCCGCGCGTATACAGCCTCTGCCAGGGAAGTCCTACTCACTGCCTTCTCGTGGCGGGGGTGTTGTTTACGAAAATGAGAGGACGAAAAGCGAATGTCCGGCGCTTTAACCGGATTCCAAATCTATGGTGCACGTGGGCACCATTATCCTGAGGTAACAAATGGCGTATGAACCAATTTTCGGTCACCGGTTACCATGGGAATGCATCTCCTTACGATGCTCCACTGCCTTGTGGGTTAGACCTTTAGGTCAAAGGCTCGGGGTGTGGCCCCCTAAGATAACCACCTGCTTCGGTCTGGGCACCCGGGCAGTATCGCAGCCCACACGCAATCAATGAAGTGAAATTGTGTGGCGCATATATATTTGGCGCACTCCTGTACCAATATATATGTGATCAAATAAAAAAATAAAAATAAATCAATCACTCTCAATACGTTGTTGTTGTTGATGTTGTTATTGTTGTTCTTGTCATCATAGTGATCTGAAATTGAATAAGAGTTATGTGGATGCTGTTTTTTTGTTTGTTTGTTGCTATAATAGTATTACTGGTATTTCTTTCATATGGCAACAACTTATTTCAATGATTTCATGATCATTTGCCTTTAGATTAGATTTATATAAACATTAGTTTAATCTCACTTGGTATTGTTTGGCTTGTATCTTTTCATTGAGGTTTAAGAGTGCAATTGATCAGTCTGTTATTGGCATATGCGCATACTGTGCGTATGCCTCGATATTACCTTAATCCACTGCTAGCCACTATCCATCATTAGTTTAATCTATTAAGTAATGATTAAAAGTTAGTGAAATTACCTTAAGATTAATCGATAAACGTCACTGTGCAAATGTGTCAATGTTTTTTTTTGTTTTTTACTCAGCAAAACGAAAACATTTCTCGGTTTTTGTTTTGTTTTGTGTATTTGGAGACGGAGAAACATTCACCAAATTTTTGTGACGATTAAAATTTGAAAAAAAAACAGGCTGGTTTATTCGATTAGAGAATTGTTAAGATGATGAATCTAAATTGATATGGGTATTATTATTGTTATACGGTCACATAGTCAGTTAGCCAGTTAAACGCACCGTAGAATTTGATACATGTTTATATCGTTTTAAGTTTTTTCATACCCCATTAGCACAAAGAGATAAAATTTTCTGAATAAATTCTAGAGTAGTAGAGATAGTGTGATTAGGAATTGAAGATCTAAGGAAAGAGACTGAGGTTGAATACACTTTCATCATTGCGGATGATTTTAATCTATATTATGCAAAATATCCAACTAGTAGTTATGATAGTAAAATGGATCCCGAACAGGTAGTATGCACTTGTTAATATGACTTGGTTCTATTGTTAATGACTTTGTAGACTAGTATCACGTGTTGGTTTGACCTTTCCTAGCTTTTTTTTGAGCATACTATTACACCAACCAACATGGATGGACATATGTAATACATATCCTAATCACCTCAGTTGATAAAAATTTACTGCTTCATCGGTCGATTTTTTATTTTTACCTAGTATTCTATGTCTAACCTCATTATTACTCACTTGGTGGTTCTGAAGTACAAAAGTGTTGTGCTTAGTTTAGTTTGAAGTACTGAAAATATTCATTTCTTTTGTAAGGTTAATAATTGATTGGTTTTGAACTTTTGTTAGGTTTACATGTCTCAATGAACTCGTCAATACATCATATTTTAGCCTATACAATCAATCATAAATAATGTTAAGACTTTGATAAATGTGTAACTAGTTCAAGTTGTGTAATTTCACATTCAGTCAGTCAGGTACAACGTAGGACCAGGCACATATATGCATCGGTCCAAGTTGCCATACCTCATTAACACAACAAGATGGACACCGAATTCATAAAAGTAGTTAGTTCAGAGGTGGTAATATATAAAAGAAAGATTTCAATAAGGATATAGTATAGGAAGGAAGAATTCGTTCGTAGAAAGAAAGATATAAAGCGATTTTAATCTCAGTGTTCAAGGGAAGACAGAGAGTGTATACACTGACGCCATTGTGATCGATTCTGAGCCATGTCACCAAGAGTCTCCAACCATTAGTTACGATAGTCACGCGGACCTCAACCAACATGGCTCAGACTAGAAGTTAGTGACTTTGTGGACTGATGTCACGTTTTGGTTTGACCGCCCCTAACTTTCTTCCAACCATTCCGAACACCGGTGAGCATTGCACTTCGTGGTAATCGGTGTTCAGGCATACGTAACACGTGGCCCAACCATTTCAGTCGATGAGGATTCACAACCTCATCAACTGATCTACCAACATTCCCTAATACCGTGCGTCTAACCTCACATTATCATGATCTCAACAAACAGATAGATAGATAGATATCATCAACATAGATCCTGGTACATATGTAAGTTGGTATAAATTGTCATACCAGATTAACATAACAAGATGAGTATAACAAATAAAGTCGAAATAATGTAATAACAATTATAAAAAGAGAGACTCGATTTTAGGAATATAGTTTTAAAAGACACAGTGGGAAAAGATGATAAAGAGTGAACACATTTATCCTACTTTGATTGGAAGTCTTTAACAATTGATTTCAATTATTAACTCACAAACGTAAACAAAGAAAACTTGATTCTTTTCTTAAGAACTCAATCTCTCTACCTTTCATACTTTTCATTCCTTGTTTTAGTATTAACCGATCAGTGATTGCATGATATTACTTCAGTAACACCAGTTATTAAATACTAACAGATGGTGCATATTTTCCACTTCCAAGGATCATTCATATTACTCGATTGTTAGGTAATGTAGACCGAAGTGCTGTATAATTATACTCATCTTTAAAAAAACAATATACAATAAGTATATCATTTTCACAGTAAATGGCATTTATAGACATAAATGATATAAGCGTTTCGAATTATTGAAACAATTTCGTTAACTGTCAACCAATCCATTCATGTATGAATCGATCGTTTCATTTCGTTTGTTGAGACTGTGAACGTTGACTTGGTGTAATATCATCATGTAACTCGGTCAATGACCAAATTATAAATTTCTGCACTTAATTTTCAACTAAACATTTTGTAAGTGCTAGTAGTAATAATTGTCTGCTAAAAGAAACTATCTTAAATGGTCAGTGGAGCCTTCGACCTGTTCAGCGTGAATGTATGTGTAGAACATCGATAGCGTGTTATGATTATTAATCCATTTGTTTTTTTTAAGCAAAATTCATTATTGAATCGATTAAACATGTTTTGCCTAAAAATTGTTATCAATGATATACATATTTATGTTCTTTTTTTATCCCCCATTATCATTGATTTCCATTTTGCTCCTCCTCTTCCTCCTCCTCCCCCTATTACTACTCCTTTCAATACATATAGATCCTGTCTGAACGTGGTGATTTTAAAGAGAGTGATAAAATATTTGCTGATCTAATAACACTTGCACCAGACTCTGGATTAGCTTATGCTCATCGTGGCCTATTACAATTAAAATGGAAACAAGATCGTGATGCAGCATTATGTTTCTTTATAGAAGGTATTCAAAAAGATCCTAAATGTGAATTAATTCATGAATTACTTGGTCAATTATCTGTAGAAAAAGGTCAATTCAGTGAAGCATTAAAACATTTCGATATGGCAATTAAACAAGCTAAAACACAAAATGATTTATCACATTTAATTGCATTACGTGAAGGTGTTAATGCACAATTAAAAGTATGTGAACAATATAAAATATCAATACCGGATGTTTTGTCAAGTATACAACATGAACAACAAAAATTCTTAATGGCTATGCAAGAGAAATTGTAAAGATAATTAAAATAAACAAACAAACAAACAATAAAATTGACTTCCTGTCTTATGAGAAATAGCAACAAGATGTATGAGAGAGAGAAAAAAAAACAGACTACTTACATCAGCAACTTTGTTATTATTTGGTTTCTTTTTCTTTTTCTATAAGGGCAACGGAACATTTGTGTTCCCATGTTGTTGTCTTTTTTTGTATAGAAAGAATAATTAATGACAACCATTTATAGATCATTCCATCTTGATTAATTAATCTGTTTGTCCCTTCCCCCCTCTCTCTCTCTCTTGATCACATCGATACTCATCCATGTTTCGAATTTCCTTGATTTTTTTCAATTAGGAACGTGTTCTGAATTAGTGCACATTTGTTTGAACATTTTTATACAGATATATACATATAGAGAGAGAAGGAGACATAATTCAAGGGTGGTAGAACTAGTTTGCGAAAGCATAGAGAAATACATGATCATTTTTGAATAGCATCAGTTATTAGGGTGTTAGTCATTCAACCATTAAGGATTAAGTTTGAACTCACTATCTACCTAGATTTGTGTAATTGGGTAGTATTGCTAGCCGTCACAATTCGGGTATAGCTGTGAAGGCCAATTACATCAGTCAGTTAGTAACAACGTAGAACTTCATACGTACATCAGTTCATGTTGCCATAACACATTAGCACAGAGATACAAATGTCGATTCAAATCCCATAGTGGTAGAGGTAGTAAAATTATAAGCATTAATCGGAAAGATTAGGAATTGAAGATGTTATTCAAAGAGTATAATACAGTGAAATAAATTTGGAAAGAAGATAAAGGACATGAAAAATTCAGAAGATTAGAATTTAAGAGGACACAAAGAGTGGATGCACCTGCGCCATTGCAAACGATTTTGAGCCATATCACATTCAAGGTCTCTAACCATCGGTTGCTATTATCTAGCGAATCCCAATCAGACAGTCCTACACATACCAACATGGCTCAGTCCATTTGTCAATGACTTCATAGATTTGTGCCATGTTTTGGTCTGACCGCCCCTATCTTTCTTCCATCCTACTCCTACACCATAAAACATCTCACGTCGGGGCAGTTAGTGGTTGAGCATACGCAACAAGTGTCCCAACCATCTCAACTGATAAAGTCTCACCACTTCATCCTTACGTAGTACCCGTTTCCTAACAACTGTGTTACTTTGTGGTCCCACGATATACGACCAATGTTTCGAATACATCTATGATTGAATACTAGTAAACTACAAATGTTTTCTACTCTTACCGGCCATGTTTCACTGCCATAAAGTAGAACGGAACGAACTGCTGCTGTGGTAGACAGACATCTCTCCTATACTATAAATGACACGTTGGAGAAAGCTAGTGGAGCCTTCTGTATCCGTGCTGATATTTCGTCACACATCAGACCACAAGGGTTGATGAGACTTCCAAGATAAGTGAAGCGGTCAACACCCTCAATTAATTCACTCCCTATCATTAGTTCAGGTGTGGGCGCTACTCAATCCTGAAGCAATATTTTGCGTTTCGAGGAAGAGAATCGCATCCTGAACGTGCTTGCATCGTTGCTTATAATAGTCAGAAGACTATTTTGTCAGCGTCTTCACCAAACAGAACTAATTTATCGGCATATTCTAAGTCAACTAGTTAATCTCCTAGTAAAAGTTCAGCTCCTGGAAATTTAGATGAAAAAATTGTTATCTCGAAGATCAGTTCAACGACAAAGTTAAACAAGAATGGAGTGAATGGGCAACCCTGACGAATACCATTTGAGGTAATCAATTGTGATGATAGTTCGCCATAAGCTCTCACTCTACCAGTTGTGTTTGAGTAGAGAGCCTTTATAAGGTTAATGTACTTCTTTGGCACTCCATACAACCTCACGACCAACAGAGTCAAATGCCGCTTTTAGGTCGAGAAATACCACTATTGTGGGATGTCTGAATATGTGTCTATGTTCTAGGACCTGATGTAGTGTGAATATCTAGTCTATACAACCACGTCTAGGTCGGAAACCAACCTGGTTTTAGTCTGCTTTGCGCGAGCTTTAGTTAGGCGTCGAAGTATTATTGAAACTAATAGTTTATTTATTTATTTGAACACATAAATATGGGGCACCAAATATATATGCGCCACATAAAACATTGAGAATGGGGAGAGAGAAAAGGTACAGAGCGTAAATGAAAAAGAGAAGAAGCGGAACAATAACGATCAGATTAGTGTAATAACAATAATGTGGGAAACGGAAAGGTACAACCAGAAGAAATCTTTCAGTTAAGGAAGAAACAACCACTTCTTTTGAAGGAAGTTACAGCAGGATCGCCACTGGCTTCTATTCTGAGCTATATCTGATAACGTCTCTAGCCACTGTGTAGCACCATCTCTCGGACCCCAACCAGGGAGTCGTGAAGGACCAACAGAAGCCAGTCCTGTGCAGCTTTCTTCTATACCACAACGTCATGTCATTCACTAACCACCTCTCCGCTCTTTCCAACCAATCCCAGATTCGGAAAATAAAGCACGACGTGGAATTCCCTGGGACGACATTTATAGGACATGACCAAGCCACGAAGTCGGTGTTTCAAGATAGTTGCTATAATTGAATTATCGTCGCCGTACCCAAACACACGATACCGGACCCCTGAATTATTAACATAGTGTTGCCAGTGGACATCAGCAATCCTTCGGAGACAAATATGATCAAACACAGAGTCGTCTAACATCCTCAACTCGGAGAGGCCAAGTTTCACAGGCACAGAGCAAAACTGCTCTGACCGACGCGTTGTAGATCCCACATTTAACAGCCAGACTAACATCAAGAAGGCGCCGAAGATGGCTTAGATTAACATAAAACGCTCTGGCTTTTACTATACGTGAATTGATATCATCACTCATGTCACTACCAGCACTTATGCAGCCATCCAGATACACGAACTTTTCGACTACTATCTACTCACCATCCAGGGTGAGTACAGGATTGGAATCCTGCCAGTCTTGTCGAAGTACTTTGCATTTCGAAGGTGCAAAGCACATACCATACCTACGGACACTAATTGCCAACTGATTAAGTGCGGATTGCATGCCTTGGGCATTATCGCAATGTAAGACAATATCATTCGCATACTCAAGGTCGAGAATTCTTTCTCCAGGCAACAGATCCACACCACCATTACTTACATCCATCAGAGCTGTTTCCAGAATGTCATCGATGGCAAAGTTGAAGAGGAATGGTGAGATTGGGCAACCCTGTCTAACCCCACTGCTTGAGTGGGACAATAGAGAAAGGTGGTTGTATGTACTCACTCTGCCTGAGGTGTTTGTATTTAGGGTCTTTAAGATGTTAATAAACTTCCAAGGCACACCCTTCTTCAACAGACAATCCCAGAGAACAGTCCTATCCAACGAATCGAAGGCAGCCCTGATGTCAAGAAACACTACAATTGTCGGCCTTTGATAAGTATGGTGGTGTTCTAACATTTGGAGGAGGGTGAAGATATGATCAATACATCCTCGACCAGAACGAAACCCAGCCTGCTCCTCGCGAGTCAATCTTTCTCGGGTTTTGAACAACTTACGAAGTATGACGGAAGCCAATAGCTTGGACGCAATCGGAAGTAGACTTACCCCACGATAGTTGTTACAGGAACGACGTGAACTCTTTTTAAAGATAGGGACAACTATCGACTCATTCCATGACGTTGGTACACTCTCTAGTTCCCAGACCTTTATAAACAACGTCGTCAGTTTCTTAGCCAGAAAGTCATAACCATCTTTAAAAAGAAAGGGAAACACTTTACTGCTGTCACACCCCTCTACAGTCAGCAGTACGACTTTCCCCTTAGACCTTGAGTTACTGCTCTTAGTTTTACCGTTCTTCAATCGGCCAGCCTGGCATGGTAGAACCTACAGAAACATATGTTCCAGTCAATATAGCTCGTTTGGGTCATCACGATAAGCAAGCCCGACCATCACGTCAAGATAGCAGCTAGGGTCGGGCTGTTGCTTAGATACTAATTGACAATCAGTTTCCAATGAAACTAAGTACACTATATTTACTTAACTAGTTTTACAGAAATCACTTGTATTGATATGTAATAATTTCTGATTAAAGACCACAGAATTAACATTCAGAAGTCAGGCAGTAGATAACAAATAGAAACATGCACTTGCTAAACCAGTTGACTAAATTAAAAAGTATTTATATTTATTCAGTGATATTTTTTTACAATATCGAAAGAAAATACTATCACTATGTAATTTACAAGTCAAATACACAACTTCAGGTGTTGTAATTGATTGGTGGAAAATTGTTCACATGTGAACACCCTCTTAATGGTGTACTTGTTAACACTAAAAAGTAAGAATTTACTGTTAAATAAATGCAAACAAATAAAAACTGCCTATGTATTTGTACGTGGAAACATAAGTTGATCAGTGGTGGTCGACAAAAAGATATGAACCGATATTTTATGCTAGTTGAAACATTTGTCACTATACTATTTCTAAGAAACCGCTCTTCTTCATGACTTTCAAATCGATGCTCATTCTCACCACCTACGAATAACAATGTGAATTAGATTTTTTTCTTCTATCATGAATAATATCACTAAAATACCAAACATAATGTGAATTCTCTTAAAATCAATCGTTTTTATCAAAACTCAGAGATTTCTAATATCATAGTTAAATAAATTCCAGCAAACAATGAGAATTAAACAGTATCAGAGTGGGTTTCTGTGGATAATATAGTTATTTTAATAGTTGAGATCATGAGTCAATTGAAGCAAGACAACCATGGAAAACCTGGAAGCACTGGATGACCATTTCATCCTATTGTGATTCCTGCAGCACTGCCACGATCCCACCTCGTGAGATTCGAACTCAGGATCAGTCAGTCTCGCATGCGAGCGCTTAACCAACTAGACTATTGAGCTTGCCGACATCCAACGGTGTTAATGTCTAACTTCAAATAATCCACAAAACTAAGCGACACATCCACCATTGTCTACAATGAGTTATTATCTCATAACAGACCCGATCGAACTCCACTGGTCACTGCTTCTCAGTAGAACTCTAGAATATACCTTTTAAAACTAGTCACTAATAAATATATGTTGTTTAATATCAGATGGGTAATTGGTTATATCAGTGTATGTCATATAAATACAAACTCAATGATTTCCGTCTAGCTCCAGACTTAAGCTTATCTCAACCTCCCTATAATAAGTAAAGTAGTCTTACTTCACCAATATGAAACTTTATTTCATTACCAAAATCAGATATATCCTTGATCATTAAGAATTACTAGTTTTATCAACATTATAGTATAAAATCTTGTTTATAGATGATTCAAAAATCCTAATGACTATAAAATTATTGACCGATTAACATGTAGTATGACTTGG